TAGGCTTCCCTGAGTCCCAAGCCTTCTCCTCTGGAGTGTGTGAGGTGCACTTTTACAGGCTTTAGAAAGAGTCACCTTGGGCTCTAAGAAAGGAAGATTAGGGATAGGCAGGCTTAGTGGAAGAAGTTTGGGATATGTGAGGCATTATTGCCTCATAATTTCCCTTTTCTCCTAGAAGGTGGAACAGAAGAGGATGAGGAAGATTTGGGCCAAATCCTGCTGGTGCTACCGTTTGTTCTACAGAGACTGAGAAAAACCCGGAAGAGACAGCAGCAGAGAATTCTGACGGTACTAGCACAGAAGAGACACCCAGATAAGTGTAAGGCAGAGAGAGGAATTGGGGGTCAGGGGTATGGCAAGCCCAGTGGGTGGAGCTGAGGAGGATTGATCCCTGCAGGAGCTGACCATTCCCCTTGGTGCAGTGTGGGCAGAGTGCTGGGGAAGAGCCCCAATCTCATGAAGACAAACAGTAACACTGCTATGATGCTGCTATAGATGCCCGAAACAGACAAGGATGAGAGGGGAGTTTATCACTCTTGGCACAGCAAACAGGATCGCACCAGCATCGTCCCCTGCCCTTAGGTCCCACAGGGCTGTGCCATGGGCTCAGATGGATGTAGCCACCACTGGGCCTCCTTGAAGCTGAAGAACTCAAGGTGAAGGGCTCAGCATATTTTGAGCAAGCAGCAAACATTTTGGCAAGTGGTAAATAAGCCAGATCCCTTTTCCCTGGCAAGCAGTTACACAGTAATCTCACTGAGGTGTCTTCCTTATTCAGCCGCCTGCAGGGCCAGCTGCTAGCTATTTGTTACCTAGGAGCAACCACAGAAGTTAGGATTTCCTGAGGTTTCATCCAGTGGCAGGAGAAGAACCAGCTCTGCAGTACAGACTTAAAGGGATAATGAAAGATAAAAATAAAGCTTTGTTCTGTTGTTATGTATGATCAGGGTATGGCAGGGTGTTTTAGTGAGATTTTCTGTTGCTGAGACACAATACCCAGACTCACAGTTTAAGAAGAGATTTAATTTGGTGCATGTTCTTGGAGGGTTCAGTCCGTGGTCAGCTGGTTCCATGGCAGAAACATCATGGTGGAAAGATGAGGCAGAGCAAATCTGCTTGGTTCATGGCACCTGAGAAGCAGAGTAGGGGAACAGTGCCAGAGACAAAGGGGTGAGGGACCAGACATAGGCCCCAAGGCCACTTCCATTATCCATGCAGACACACCAGAAATGTGCTCCAATAGTCCCCCAGGTGGACACCAAAGCCAAGCAAGTTGACCTTCCATCATAACCCCACACAAAGACAGTCTTATTTCCATCTAATGTTACTCCACGTTGTGGATCATCAGCCTAGAGGGCTGCTATGGTTTGAATGTGCCCCTCCTCAACCATGTCCTGGAAGCTTGATCTCCAGTGTAACAGTGTCTGGAGGTGGGGCCTAGTGGGAGGTGTTTAGGTCATGAGGGCTTTACCCTCAGGAATGGATTAATGTAAATTATGGAAGGGTATGAGGCTGCAAGTTTGACTTTGTCTCTCTGTCTCTGTCTCTCTCTCTCTTTCCATCCCCCTCCTGCTTTCTGCTTTGGAATTACAAAGCAAGAAGGCCCTCACCAGAGGCCAACCCTCTATGTCAGACTTCTCAGCCAACAGAACCATGAGAAACAAGTTTCTTCTCATTATAAATTCTTCAGTCTCAGATTCTACTATGGCACTTCACAAAGACTCCATACAACACCTATGCCTGGGACCAGAGAGAACTGTGCACCTCCCATCCAAAGAGCCAGAGGCCAGGTAGAGATACAGACAGATCAAGACTGGAGGGAGGAGCAACACCTTCTCCCCACCACTACCTCAGCAGTGCATTTGTGCATCCCCCCCACCAAGCCTAGTTTTAATGTGAAAGAGGACAAGGGGGACAAAGAGAAAATAATCCTGAATAGGACTGAGTTCTCAATATGCAGAGGCTAAGAAGTAATAGGATTTGAGTTCTTTCATTCAAATGGGACTAGATTAGACCTTTATGAAGCAGATTGGGAACTCAGCAGCAGAAATTAAGTTTTTCTGGAAAATGAAAGTCATTTGAGAGGTACACACATGATTTTGAAACCTTGTACTCACTACAAATATAAGGCAGTGCTCCAGTGCTAAAGGTGATGCATCTCCTCTGCTCCTCCCTTCCCCATACCAGGAGGAGCTGCTATCCAACATCGTGTTGATTGTTCCTATGCTTCTTTTTAAAATTAAACTTTTATTTCAAGATAATTGTAGATTCACATGCATTTGGCAGCTGTAAGAAACAACACAGGGATCTCTTGTGTACCATTACCCAGTATCTTCCAGTGGTGACATCTTGCAAATACACACAAATCACAGCAAAGATACTGACAATGATACAGGCAAGATACAGAACATTTTACCTAAGAATAAGATATGATGGTGCTAATCACCAGAATGTAATGGGTCTTGAGTTCAGGAAGAGACTTTAGGAACAAAAATCTACCAGATTGGACATGTGGAAATGAAACCTCTCACCAGAGGTGAAGGTAGAGGCAGAAGAAGGGAGCAGGGCAAGAAGCAACTCTTTTTCTTTTGAGACAGGGCCTAACTATGTAACCTAGGCTGGCCTTGAACTTGTGATCCTCCTGCCTCAGTCTCCCAATAAGATATGATTGCAAGTATGCTCTGTTATGCCTGGCTCAGAAATAATTCTTTATCTTCTGCCTCAGTATGCAAAATTTCCTAGTGTCATTCTATGCAGAGAGTTTCAGGACTGTCTGACAGTTAAAGGTTCACGGCAACTTTCAGAGCAGTGAAATGAGCTGAGGGGACTGGCAAGGGACAACCTCCACAAGAAAATGTCTGTTACACTGGATGCTGGCACACCGAGGCAGGAGGAGCTCATCAGGCCCAGCTGAGGAAACTCAGTGTCAACCATCTCCAAAGACATGGGCTTTCTTTATCTCTGCTCATTCTTTCCTGATCTGTGCTGGCCCCGAATCCATACCACATTCATTATCTTTGGCCTCTATGCATGCACTGATAGCTTAGCAGACTGATGCTCAAAGTCCAGAATGATATTAATGAAAAAGCATCACAAGCACTATGGAATTCTGCCTCCTCATTTTAAAGATGAATAAATGGGCCTGATGTAGGTCATACAACTGCTAGAAGCCATGTCAGGATGAGAATTCAAGTTGTTCCACTCCTTGTTCATCATTCTAAATAAAATCCATACAAAGTATTTTACAAAATTTCTTACTAGTGACGACAACCACAGACCATCTATCAAAGAGCCATACCTAAAAGCTCTGGCCCTGCCATTTCCAGAATTTTCTGTGGATTTTCTAGCCGTGGAAGGTTAAAAATGTCAATTGAAGACAAAAAGACAGGATAATATGAACATATTTGTGAATCACTAGATATCTCCCTGCAGGATCACTTTTTATGAGAGGTTGAAAAGCTAATGCTTAAGAGCACAGGCTCTGGAACCAGACTGCCTAGACTCAGATTCCTATTTTACCTGTAGGACTTGGGCAAATTAACCTCTGTGCTTTGGTTACCTCACCTATAAAATGGAGATAATAGCACCTACTCCATAGGTTGCTATGAGATTAAATGAAAGTTTAACATGTATTCATTTCTTAGAAAAGTGTCTGCCATAGAGTTAAACTCTAGCAGAATTATCTATTATTAACATATAGCAAGGCATTCTGGCTCTTGAATATGCCAAATGTACTTAACCAATCCTTTGTTATTGTATATTTGGTGTCCTTAAGAGTTTTTTCTTTTTTTGTTTTTTTTTTTTTTTTGGTTTTATCCAAAGGAGAGTACATTCTCAGTAAATCTATTGGAAATAAATGTGCACATTATTCCAATAATCTATATGAGTTACAGTGGACAGGTAAGGGCCATCTAGTAGCAGAGTCAAAAAATGTAGAGTTCAATTGGATGGCTATGCATCTAACATTGAGTGGGGATGAAAAGGACCATGCTCACTGGAGGGCAATTAATACACTTTGCCACAGTTATCATGTACCAAATGCACATAGGATTTTTAACATTCATCTTCTTCCTAAATGATAACTTCATGGAAGTTGGAATCACAATATAATCACAAGATTTACCCTTACGAAGTCTTACTTTAGTAGATGGGTATATATGTGTGTGTGAGTGTGTGTATGTGTGTGTGTGTGTGTGTGTGTGTGTGTGTGTGTGTTTGAGACATGGTCTCGCTATGCAGTTCAGGCTAGCCTTGAGCTCACTTTGTAGCCTAGGCTGGTCTTGAACTTGCAATGATCCTCCTGTCTCAGCCTACTGAGCCTCCTGAGTGCTGGGATTACAGGCATGCACCACCATGCTCAGCCTTAGTAGATGGGTATATTTTTAAAAAGATTTCTTTTTGTCTTAATTTTCAAACTCTCTGTCAACTGATCTTAGATACATGTTGTTTTGCAACCACACATAGATTTAGTTTTTTTCTTTTTAAACTCAATTCACTATTGAACTACTTCTGCTTTTGATGTGGGAATTCAACTTGTTTATATTATTTGTAATGACTTTTACTATTGGATTCATTCCACTTTTACTTATTTAGGTTTCTATAATTTACATTTGTTTCTTTTCCATTTTTTTGCATTTTTATACATTGGTCAGTGTTCATTTTATTATTTTAAAAAATTTAGGAGAGATTGTACTAGAAAAAATACAAGACAATGAATAAGGTTAAGCCAAAATGACTCTGTTAACTGCTGTTGTATCAATGGTTTAAATTATTTACACTTTTATAAAATGTCCACATTTCATTTTCTATGAAGAAATTTTCATTTATCTTTTCTGTAATATTTGGTATCACATCTAAAATGACTTCTAGTTAAATAATATTTCCACAAAAACATTTTTATTCATATTTCTAAAAATTATATATTTCCCTCAACATCTTCAAACACTTGTTGAAAGCATTCACATATGTAAAGCATTCCATATTTTCAGTCTTATATTAATTCTGTAGCTCCTATTAGTTAAAACCATTAGTGAAGACTTTGCTACTTGTATTGACATGTTAAATATCTGCTCTCTGATTGTTGGTGTTCACTGAGTCTGGCTTGTTAATACAGGATTCTGCATGTGGGCAGTGTTGATGGGAGTTTTCTTCTTGTGTGTTTTTCGTTGATGTTTGGTGAGGGCTGACCTCTGGCTGAAGGTTTTCCTACATTCATTACATTCATAGGGTTTTTCCCCTGTGTGAATTCGCTGATGTTTTGTGAGGGCTGACTTTTCATAGAAGGTTTTCCCACACTCAGGACATTTGTAGGGTTTTTCTCCTGTATGAGTCCTCTGATGCACCACAAGATTGGATTTCACACAGAAAGATCTCCAGCATTCACTACATTTATAGGGTTTTTCTCCTGTGTGGGTCCTTTGATGTTGAGTAAGGTTTGATTTCACACAGAAGGTTTTCCCACATTCACTGCATTTATATGGTTTTTCTCCTGTGTGAGTTCTCTGATGTACTGTGAGGGCTGATTTCTGGCAGAAGGACTTCCCACATTCATTACATTCATATGGCTTTTCACCTGTGTGAGTTCTCTGATGTTCTGTGAGGTTGGACTTCACAAAGAAGGATTTCTCACATTCATTGCACTCATAGCGCTTCTTCCCTTTGTGTGTGCTCTGATGTTGAATAAGATCTATTTTCTTACAGAAGTGTTCTCCACATTTACTACAGTCATAGGCTTCCTCTCCTTTATGGGTGCTCTGGTTTTCACTGAAGTGTGACTTCTTACTTAAGGCCTTCCCACTTCCCTCACCCTCATCACGATTTTTCCCTGAACCTGTACTCTCTTGTTGAATATGTTTTGACTTCTTGGAAAGGGGTTTCTCACTTTTATTACTCTTACACTTTTTCTCTCTTGTGTTAATTGTCTGACTTCTAGTGAGATGTAATTTCTTCTTTAAGGCCTCTTCCCTATCATCATCCTTGCTTGGTTCTTCAGTTGGGAAAGTTCTCTGATGTTGAGTAAGGCATGACTTTTCATGAAGAGATTTCCCCAATTTTTTACAGCCATATATCTTTTCTCCTGCATGAGTTCTGTCAGTTTCACTGTGGAAGGATTTGTAATTTTTACTATACCTATCAGGTTTTTCTCTTGGGGAAATTCTCTGACGTTGGCTAAGGTTTGATTTCTCGCTCAAGGATTTACCAAATGTATTATCTTCATAGTGTTTCTCCCCCATGTGAACATTTTGAGGAGCTTGCTTTGACTTCATCCATGAGGGTTTCCCACTTTTACTGGACTCCTGGGGCTTCCTTTCCCAAGTGGTTCTTGGATAAGAAGTAAGCTTTAACTTTCTGATGAAGGTTTGTCTGTATTCATTGCCTTCAGAGGGTTTTTCTTTTGTGTGAGTTCTCTCAAGTGCAACAAAGACTGCCTTTCTGTGAAAGGCTTTCCCACAATTATTATATTCAAGAAGTTGTCCCAAAGATGAATTCTTTTGATATTGAATAAAGTCCTCATTAGGATTGTGGGATTTCTTCTTTTGATCATTTTTACATGCTTTATTCCTTGTGTGAGTGTTCTCATGTTTAGTGCCAAGAGACTCACATCCACTGAAATCATCAGATGTTTTCCTTACATGATTTCTATTGCTAATAATTAATTCTGAAACACTTTTTAAGCTTGTTCCAAATGAGTCACATTTATGGGATCTTTTTCTTGAGGGCACTGGGTCTGTGGCCAAGTCAACCATTTTTCTTAAAGTCTTACTTCTTTCCTTAATCAGTGTGTTGTTATTGATGAATAAAGCTTGTCTCAAATATTTATCTTCATTTTCTTGACTTTCTTTCATGTTACTGGTTCTCTGCACTTCTAGAAAAATAAAATTTAACCATATATTATAAATCTTAACATATTTTTGAAGGACAGGGTTTTATAGAAGTCTCTATGCTAAGTTGATTCTGGGGTTTCAGGCACAATCTCCTGGGGTTACAGCAGTCCTAAGCAAGTATTTCTGGTCTTTTGTAAGGAATATGAAAACAAAGAAAAAGACATACTATAGTACAGATAGGAGGAGAAAGCTGAAAATGAACATAAGTAGCTTTAGCTTGTTATAAACATGACCTCAGAGTAGGGAGGGAGCTTGAAATATAGTACAAGAATGATGATTAGAAAACAAAGAACATCAGAAAAATGATTGGTCCAAGGATAGGGTTGTTTTTTTTTTTTAATTGATAGGGGATATTTTTCGTTTTGTTTTTTTTTCTTTGTTTATTTTGAGACAGGGTCTCACTAGATAGTCCAGGCTGGCCTTGAACTCACTATGTAGCCTAGGCTGGCCTGAAACTTATGAAGATCCTCCTGCCTCAGCCTCCCAAGTGGTGGGATTACAGGCATGTGCCACCATACCCAGCTCAAGGATGGGGGATATTTAAAAAATGAGGTAAAGATGAAAACAATGAAGAGCAAAACAAAGAGGACTGAAGGTACCTAAGGGAAGTATCAGAAAAAAGACTATATTTGGAGGTAGATCAGAGACTAAACCTTTATCTCTCTTTTCTCCAGACCTTAATTAATAAGAGGACCCTCTCTCCCCTCTACATGCTTCCAATCTTTCTCTCCTTTTCAATTCTGCACACCAATTCCCAGTTAAAGTTATCAAATCACATACTTCCTCAGAGCTGTAAAGTTCATTCCTATCGTTCAGACCGCATGTCACCATATAACTCTGGTATGCCTAAACAGTGTCCAATGAGAACATTAATTATACAAGCCACACTTACAATAGGATTTAATTCACTTCCTATTTTGACTCGGTGCTATCATTTGATTCTAGCAGAGTTAATCAGTAGTAATCTGCTCTGATGACAATCCTAATTTTTACTTTTCATCTATTGATTTACTTCACCAACTGGTTGTACCCTGTCTCCATACTGGCTTTTAAAGATAGATTTTATATTTAGAGCAGTTTTAGGTTTATGGTAAAATGGAGTGGAAAGTACAGAGTTCCCGTGTACCACTATATATGCACTTCTGCAGCTATCAACATGTTCCACAAGAGTAGCATGTACATTTTCTTATAATCAAATTTATATTAGCACAACATCATCACCCAGAGTTTATTGTTCACTCCTAAGTTGGGTTCACTCTTCAACTGTACATTCTATGGGTTTGGACAAATGTATGATGACTTGTGTCCACCATTACAGCATCACACCAAACAGTTTCATTGTCCTCAAAAATGCCCTTTGCTCTGCTAATCATCCTTCTCTCCTTACCCAACCCCCACCCCAACTCTTAGTAATCACTAATCATTTCATTATGTTTTGTTTATCATATAGTTGGAACAATACAGTATTATAGTCTTTCCAGACTAGCTCTTTCACTTAGTAGTATACATTTCAGGTTTTTCCATGTCATTTTATGGCTTGATAGCTTGTGCCTTCCTAGTACTGAATATTTCCATTGTCTGGATGTACCATGTTTATTTATCCATTCATCTACTTAAGGCCATCTTTGTTGTTTCCAAGTTTTGGCAGTTATGAACCAAGGTGCTATATGTTATCTGTGTGCAGGTTTTGTAGGGGCATACATTACTTTTCAACTCCTAATTTTAATGCTGTTTTTAATATCATGTTTTATTCTTTTCTTGCTTTTGTCTTTCCTGTGATAACCCAAGCACCAGGCTACTCAGTGTGGCCCGAGGACCTTTATTAGCTTTTATTTTTATTTGTTGTAAATAATTTTGAGTAAGAGTGGTTTTTTCTTGGTGCTGGGGGTCAAACTGAGGACCTTGCACATGGTAGGAAGCAGTCTATCACTGAGTCACGTATCTAGCCCCCTGGATGATTACTGTTGTCTTCTGTTATATTTTATGTAATAACATTAACTGTACACTTTAAGATGTAAGATTTTTCTGTAGTCGATAAAACACATAAAAGTCAATGCATATGCTGACAAAGAGAATGTGACACTAGATTTTTGTGCTCAAATTTTATACTAGATTCTTGTATTTAAATTCAAAATACATATGTCAACTCCTATCAGAGATGGGTATCAATTAATTCCATAAATTGTTCCTTTCCATTACAAACCTACCCTTCATGTTTTTCACTTATTTGGTTTTTATTGGGTCCTCAGCCCTTCTCAGAACCTAGACATCCTTTAGGACAATGCCACTGTTCTATGGTTTAAAGAAAATATCCTTACCATTTAACATCCCACTTGTAGCAAAATTTACAAGTAAATACTGTCTGTATAATATAATTTAAGGCTATTTTACAGTGTACTGGTTTGCATGTTTTTTTCTCTACTTCTTCCAAAAGCAAGCCTGATTTTCATGGCTTTGGGCTGTTTTTCTACCTTGAATCTTTTTTCCTTTTTCTTTTGAGATTTTCTCCAACCTCCAGTGAAAATGGAGTTGGCTTTTTGTTTTCATTTGCCTTGTGGCTTCTGGAAAATTTGCAGGAAAAGAAAGGGCAATGTGACTTTATGGTTCTGTCTCTGTACTGGAATCCACCCCTTTCTTCTTAACACTGCTCAGGTGGCTTCTAGGACACAATTGTCAGGTTTTTCCATGATCCTGGATGGCCAGTTCTTCTCAGTCTTCTTTGTTGACCCCTGTGTCCTCCTGGCCTCCAAATCCAGCACTTGAAGGTGCCATCTTTGACCTATTTCCTTACCTACTATCTTGGTCAGTAAAATTGAAATTATTCACTACACCTACATAGTTTTTCTCCCTGTAAACTCTCATATTATTTGTTTTTTCCTCCTTGCTCAACTCACTTTGGTGGCACTGACTTCCTTGTTGTTCTGTCATTAACAAGCACACTCTGGTCTCAGAGGCTTGGCACCTGCTGTTCCTTTGGTCTGCAAATCTCTCCAATCGCCCATGGCTCATTCCATCCCTTCATTCAAAACACCATCCCAGTGTTCCTGCTCAACATTCACTTCCTAAAGGAGACCATCCCAGCCTCCTTTCCTAAGTACGAGTCTCCTACTCTTCATCTAATTTTAATTTCTCAGTACTGTCTACTACCTACCCTATTGTGCATTTATTTGCTAACTGAAGCTCTGATAGGAGTGGAAATTCTGCTTCTGTAATCCCCATGCTCAGGATTTAACTGACAGGAGGAGCTTAACAAATATTTGTTGAATAAAAGGATGTGTGAAGAAATGCCTGTTTAAGAAGTTTTTGACTCTAGAGGAAAGGTGGGCAATGGCCATTGTTGAACAGAGAAAAACAGAGAAATAAAGGTCTAGGATGGAAAAGGCAGTTATTGAGTTCTATAAAAACCAAGTGAATTTCTCTCTAAAAGTCAAACAGAAAACAAAGATCATTTGTACATGACAGTGACACTGGGAGATGTGATAGCTACGGTATGTGATGATCTCTCTTTACTCACTTCTGAAAGTGTAGAGCCTCTGAAAGAGATTTATGAAACATGTTTCAAAGATATTAAACTTTGAACTGGCCATATGGGACCTTTTCTCTCCGCTTCTCTTTGACCTCAACTCACCCCAGTGGCTGTGACTTGCCAGCTCCCTCTTTAGTATCCACGGTTCTTCTCCTTGCTCCAACCTGCATATCAGCTCAGGTTTTCTGACACACAGGCCTGTGAGAAAAATGACAGGAGACTTGGCAAAAGCATTTAGGGTTCAGGCCCTTTGAAGGACAAAAAGGGAGAAACACAACGACAGTGTCCAGCTATGTTCCGTCAAAGCCAGTGGCTAAGTCTCTGGGCATGAGGCATCTGGTCAACCTGGTTAATGCTTGGGTCAGTGGCTAAATCCTCTGCCTGAGGGAATGGGCATTTGGTGAAAGACTCTTTTATCAGGGAAATGAGAATACAATATTCTATGGAGTGGACTAAAGGAGACTTAGCCAAAAATCTCAAGCATAAAACACATTACTCTCTGTAATAACCTGCTTCCCAGAATAGGAAATGCATGCAGCCAGAACTGCATGGACAGCTGGGCTTACCCAGTGATTCCAGGTGCCCGTAGTTCTCCAGCATTATGTCCCGGTATAGGCGCCTCTGACTGGGATCCAGCAGCTGCCACTCCTTCTGGGTAAAGGCCACAGACACATCCTCAAACAACACCGACACCTGCAACAGTCCAAACCTGCTCAATCTGAAGTGCTCAAAGCAAAGGCCATGAGAAATACATATAGGAACTAAATCCTACCATGTTCTCTGTTAAGAGCTTACCAGTGTTACAAAGGCTATCTAAGATTACCTTCCTTCATGTTATCCTTTGTGAGAGAAACAGAAATCATAATGGAAATGACAGTCCTCTATATTTACTTATAAATGCATTGATTAATTTATAAAAATTTGAGTTTCATCTGCATACCTGGATTTGTTCTGGCTACAGAGGACACTAAGGCAATTAAGACATTGGTCCTATTTTTAGGGATCTTATAGCTGATGAGGATCCTTTCTGTATACTCATACATATGCAACAGTGAAATAAGGGAACCATGAAAAACTGTGTGGTTAAAACAGTGGGAAGTCACAAAGGGGGAGTGTATTTGTCAGCTTTCCTGTCACTGAGACATAATAACTGACACTCACAACTTAAAGAAGGAGAGGTTTAATTTGACTCATGGTTCAGGGGTTTAATCCATGGGTCAGCTGGCTTCAAGGCAGAAGCATCATGGTGGAAAGGAATTGTGGAGGAAATCTGTTCAACACATGGCAGCTAGGAAGCAGAGAGACAAGGGAGGAGCCAGGGACATGAACACATCCTTCCAGGTCACATCTCCATTGACCCACCTCCAACCAGACCCCACCTCCTCACAATACATTTAGACATGAACTCGTGAATAGATGACTCCACCACTGAGTATAGTGCCCCCATCATCCAATCACCTTTCAAAAGCCCCACCTTGGAACACACGAAACTTCTGAAGGGCATTTTAACGTAAACCATCAGAGGAAGGAAAGCGAATTCTCCCTTTGTTCAGGTCATATTTGATCAAGAGTTAAAGATTTGATTACATGTGCACAGTGAGGTTGGTATAGCCATGGGAAAACAGCATAAATAAAGGCATGGGCAACATTAAAATAAAGGATTTACAAGGGGTGTGGTGTGAGAGAAGAGGGAGGTTGGGGATTGGATGAGATAAAGAATGATGAAGTAGTCAGTGGTCAGAGAGTGACATCTTGGACTTTCTCCTACAGACTAGTGACCTCCAAAGTAGTTATTGATTAGTAAAATTTCCTTAGCATTTTTCATTACATTTATAAATTATATATGTATACAACTGTCAAGCCATTCACCAAAATTACAACTTAACAACTTCCTTAACATTTTTAAAATAAAAAATACATTTAATATCTATTCTAACACAGTACACCCATTGATCGCCCTATGAACTGCCCTGGGAAGCACATCCCTTCTTAGGTGATCATTTCTATAGACAATGGAGACATAGGGCTAAATAACATGACTACACATATTTTGAAGGACATGTACTAGGAACAATTTGGAAAATGTTTTAAAGAATTATTTCTTAACCAGAGTCACTAGGGGTATTTGGCATTGTTTGGAGACATTTTTAGTCATCACAGCTGAGGGAGCAGAATTGCTACACGCATCTAATGAGTAGAAGCCAGAGATGCTGCTAAACATCCTGCACTGTACAGGTCACCTCCACAACAAAGAATTACCTGGACCAAAATATCAATGGCCAAGGTTAGGAAACTGTTTTAGAAAGAAGTTAGGATGATAATAGACTGGTGTGAGGGATGACCACCTCCTAGAACTAACTCCACAGAATTATCCAGCAGTGATTACACAGTGAAGGAAAATGGAGCATTACTTTCAGGTTATCCACAAGAACAGCAGGCTTGATGCTGGTGCCACATTCTGTATGGAGATGAACAAAACAGGTAAAAGAATGAATGGAGGAGGGAAGGAGAGGAGAGAGAGAGAGACAGACAGACTCTTGGGCATGTTATACTTAAGGCATCTGTGAAACAAGTGGAGATGTCCAGGTGACAGCTGGATATAAGTTCTTAGATCTCAGGAGAGAGCTTGGATAAAGAGGATAAAGATGCATGCATTTTTGGAATCAGGTATAGCTCAGTGGTAGCTGAAGCCATGAGAGAGGGAACTTCCTCACGAAGAGCATGGATAGTGAAGCTACAGGGCTAAGGGGCCAACAGAGGAAGAGGAGTAGTCCCTGAAGGCCCAGAGGGAAGCAAAACTGGGAGCTGGCAGCTGTGTGTGGAACCAAGCGCAGTCCTGTTCCACAGTGGTGCTCAATAGGCAGCGGGTGAGTGAGCGATTCAGAATTCAGAAGCCACAAGTTAAAGAGTAAGGGACATTCTCAGATCAACACAATGACACAAGCACATATATTTATTTCCTCTGCCTCCAAAATGACAGCAGAGAAACATGAAAACCCCATGTTTATCTCAGCAGAGGAGTACAGGGAAGGCCGTCTGCAAGTAATTTCTAGGAGTTTCCAGAAGAGCAGAAGGCAGATACTGGAGGCTCTGTGTGTGTCTCTTCATATGAACATAGAATGTGCACAAGTCTCAGGCCTCCCTTCAGAGCCCACCAGACCACCCAGCTCAGCAGCTGGAGGCTGGGAGGTGGATGGGGACATGATCAGCAGAAGGACTGCCAGACTTCTTGGTGGATTCTTACTCCTGAGGGTTCATGCTCAGGTGAATGTTCCCTATGCAAAGCAGGAGTCTGTGAGAACTTTCCACCCGAGAGAGAAACCAAGTTCTGTGCAAGTACCCTGCTATGGGCACAGCTTTGCTTTTAGAGCAAAGGGAAACAGACTAATGTGCTCTGTTAGGTAAAGTAATGCTCTCTTCAGCAGGGGAGGAGTCTCCTGGAGTTTTCCTCCCTTCTCTAGCCTAAAGGGATTCTCTATAGACATCCCTTTACTTTTTTGGGGGGTAGTACTAGGGACTGAACCCAGGACCTTCACACTAAGCTGTCTACCTAGCTCCTTTTTATTTTTTATTTTGAGACACTGAATCACTAACTTGTCCAGGTTGCCCTCAAATTCAGTCCTCCTGCCTCAAACGCCCAGAGTGCTGGGATTATAGGCATGACCATGGAAGGACTCAAGTGTATCCTTTCATTGAAGGGTATCATTCCCACAGAAACAGAGCTCCACACTGCTGAGTAAGCACACATCAGCCAACTACGCTGAACATTGAGTGGTGTCCCTGCTTTTCCTTGTTCACTTGGAAAACACAAAGGGGATCTGGAGGGAAACCACAGCCTGAGAAATAAGCATCAAGAAGAAACTGAAGACCGCCGAACACATCTAATGTAAATAAAAACAACAGCCTAGGAGATAAGCACCAAGTATAATATTTAAATGTTTCAAACAGTGTCTCCAAATCAGTGTAAGTGAACCTTACTTCCATAAATGAGAAACGTCTACTCTGAGTGAAGGAAAGGCACACAGATATTAAATATTTTGTTACTGATTTAGGGAAATGGAAAACAAAACCAGCCAGAGAAATCCTGGAGACACAATGAGCAAATCTCTCAGTGCACAGGACAAAACCACAGAAAAGTTGAAACAATGAAATAAAAGTCAAGGAATGCAAAAAGCTGATTGAGGAGAGTCTCCAATAGGATTTCTAAGTGGAGAGGAACTTGAGCAGGAAATAAGCACAGAAATAAATAAAAACATCTCTGAGCATGTGAGCCTTCATCTTGTCAGGACATATTCAATCACCAAGCAGGGTGCTGAAAAAGAGAATAAGCAGCCACTGCATGGTGACACATGGTGAGACATCCGAGGAAGAGGAGGAGGAAGAAGAGGAGAAAGGAGAAAAAGGAAGAAGACGAAGAAGAAGAGGAAAAACAGGTTATCTATAAATGCATGAGAACCAAACTGCCACATCCCTGCTTGGTCTTTCCAAACAGAAGATATTAGGGGCCGGAGACATAGCTCAGCAGTACAGTGCCTGCCTGGCAAGCGCGAAGTCATGAGTTCGATTCCCAGTACCAGAAAAAAAAGAAAGGGAATAATGCAAATTGTCTTTCTTCATAATATTCTTAGGGAAAGGATTTCAAGCCAATCACTCATTCACAGGGCAGAGCAGGAGGAAGGCAGTTTCAGATACACAGACTCAGAGGGTAGACTAAGCACAGTCAATCTGTGCAGTGCTCCACATCCCCTGTCTAAACTCAGCAGAATCCCAAAAAAAGAAAACACAGCAAATGATGACCATGTTGAACAGACCATGAGAACTGCTGTTTACAGGGTACACAGGTAAAGTGTCTGTAGTTTCAAACAAAACCTATATGTAAGCATCAAGCTTGAGAATTCTTGAAATTCTGGAAGGAGAGCTGCTCTAGCGATTGATGGGGAAGCTGGTGCAGGCCCTTCCAATTCACCAATGAACACCTGGAATGAGGTTATAAAATCAGGCACTGAAAGCAAAGAGCATCTGCTCCTCCAGATGAGTTGGGACTGCCAGCCTTCATGGCCATAGTAATAAAAATACAAGCACCACTTTCACTTGAACTTCAGGTAAACAACAAATAAGTTATTAGTACAAGTGTGTCTCATGCTTCTTTTTAGGTGCCCTGTGTTTTATCTGGCAACCCTATTCCAATAAGAGCTCCTATTTCAAGTTCTTGGGCAGGTTGGAACATAACAGATAAAAATGTACTCTCAGAAATGGGAGGAAAACTTGTAATGCACTTGGACTTGACGAGGTCTCCATCCGGCAAAACCTCTCATAATGTATCCCTGAACTATTTCAGTTCCAACTTTTGAGAATTATTTAAAACTTTGTAGCCTTTAGGAAAAAAAGGTATAAAAAATTTTTAAAAAAGAAAAGAAAAAAAGGTGTAATAAATGTATCTACCCAATAACGTTGTCAGTATTATATGAGCTAGTCCAGGTAGGGAATTTAACAGTGGCTGGAACATAATATGCAACTCTTAATTATAGATAATGTTATAACTGACCAATGGTTATAATTTTATTACTCTATCTTCCAACTTGGGATGGCAAAAATAACTAGAAAATGTATATTCAAGTTTAAATGATTATTGTTCAAATAGCTAGAAGATGTGGTTAACACAGGATAATAATATTATTTATGGTTTATTACATAAACAGAAAAAAATGAAAAAGGACAGTATTAAATGCTTTTTTGTTTTGGTTTTTTTTCCGGTACCAGGAATCAAACTCACGACCTCGTGCTTGCCAGGCAGGTGCTGTGCCACTGAGCTAAATCCCCAGCCCCTAAATACTTTTCACTAAACCTGAGATGTAAGAGGAATGTGTGCTGTTTAGGTGATACTATAGATGAGAAAAACCCCATATATTGATAGAAAAATGTGTTATGCATATGTTAGTGCATCTGGGGCCATGAATAATAGAATAAAAATAAAATGCGGACCTCCAAATCCACTGGAAGAAGGAAAAAGAAAGTAAAATAATAACTCAGGGGAGAAGCCAGGAAACTAACAAATGACGAAGAACAATTAACAAGGAAGCATGGTCTAAAAATGCAGTTACTCTTACATTTTGCTGAAAACATGGGGTAAAAGGTAAACAACTCACCTGGGATGCGTTCATTCTCTTCTGCTCCTGGAAAAGTGCAGAGAGCTGTGAAGGCAGGTATGAGGAGAGGGAAGGAGTGAAGAGATAATGAGAAATATAGGCTACCTGGAAGGTCTTCATAGCGTTTGCAGGAAATCCACATATCCACTGACATAAGGCCACATGGCAGGAGACTGGCACTTTGACCCTTCAGAGGGGGCAGGTAGGCATGCACTAGGGAACTCTTGTAACTTCATAACCACGGTGGGGGGTGGGGCTCCGGGAAGCAAGCATTTTATTGAGGAAAGTGAATATTAGTTTCTTACAATTTAAAACCTCCTTTGATTTGATGGCAGGCAAATACTGTATAAACAACATGAAGTTCAAGTAAGAAAGGTCTGGCTAAACAAATCACATTACCACAGAGTCCTTCAGCTATGAAACGTGCTATATACTACATTTTTAACATCTGGGATTTACTTTAAGATAACCCTGTAAAGAAAGGTAGAAAAAGGGACAGTATAAGTGTGTGTGTGTGTGTGTGTGTGTGTGTGTGTGTGTATGTATGTGTGTCGGGGGATAGGTGAGTGACTGCCCATATGCTGAGGCTGTGACAAGGATTTATTGTGATATTTTCCCAGGAGTTATTCCAGTATTTACTTTATATGTTCGAATTTTTTCCATAATAGAAGGTGTAAAACCTGATATAACAATAAAGACCTGATAAAGACCTGCTTGTTTACCTTTTCACATACATTTTTTAACTTCTTGAGGTTAAAGAATGTAAGGGAACTAGATACAACAGAGATAGTTGTGCTTTAAATGGAGTCTTTCTCTTATTTTTTTAAGGGTTGTGTCCTAAAGCACTTTTTACTGTTAAAAGAGTCACCCGAGACATGTAGACAGTGCCTGAGAATCATGGGGCCTCAGTGATCTTTACGGATTGGCCACAAGTAGATAAGCAAACCCAGATTATAATATTAGATACCCACAATACTTGTATAGTGCGAGGTATGTAGCAGAAATTGTTTTGACTACCTTATATGTTATCACTTCACTTAATCCCCAAGATAAAGCAAAGGTACTATTGCTACTCTCATTTCACAGATGAAGAAATAGATGGGAAGAATGGCAAAGCCATGGTTGGGCTTTGAACACGGGCAGTCTGGTTCCAGAAACCATGCATTTAAGTTTGCTTTGCTAATTACTCTCTCAGGCACAACATTTTCCCTTTTCAAATACTGCAGAATTACATAACCCCTGAAAAGAGAAATGGCTACCAGAAGTCCAGTGCCAGTCAGCTCATGGTTGGAGGGTTCCGAAGAATCTGAGAGGAGGGCCCTGAAGGTTTGGGAGGAGCTCCTGGGAGGAGGAGACAGTGTCTGGCTGGGCTTCCTTCTGACCACTCCTCACCACCTGCTCCAGGGACGTTCTCTTCCCACTCAGCCTGCCTCTTGCTCAGCACCCTCTGCCCAGCTCACCTCCTTCCTTTGGAAGATGGTTCAGTCTTTGCTCACTGCCAGTGCTGAGCACCCTCTGGTACGGTGATGCTCCTCAGAGCAGGAGGATCAGAAAGGGCTTCAGGGCACTCAAATAGAGTCTGGGCTGGTTTCTTAGTCCCTGGCCCGAAGCTGAGGTTCAAGTTGGGGTAGTAATTTCACCTAGGTGGGACTCTTGCTTCTGGGTCCCCTCATTCTTTCCTTTTAAAAGCTTCATGATCCAAGGAATTTGAACTTGGCTGGAGGAAATAAATTCAAATAATTGGAAGCTTCAGCTGGCCCCTGCCTCTCTTGCAATTTACCATCCTCTATTAATAGTGGTTCTCACAGTGAGGTCTCCAGACCAGCAGCCTCAAGATCACTCAGGAACTAGGTAGAAAGGCACATTTCTGGATCCCTCCCCAGATCTACTGAATCAGGAGCTGGATGGGGGCCCTGCTATCTTTGGAATTTCATAGATCTTCCAGGTGATTCTGATGCATGTTAGTTTAAAAAATGGACAGAAATCCAGCTTGGACATTCTGTAGCTGCTGAAGGCAGGGAGATGGCCTAATTTACATAGTAACACCAGGGTAGAACTCCCAGGAGTCCCAAGGGAAAACTGGATCTTCACACACTCCAGTTACTTCTTTTGGCACTTACGGCTGTTCCCCTGCTGAGGGCTGTAGCAATAAGCTGCTGGTAAAACCTAGCAGGAGATCTGCAAGGCAAAGGGTTAGAGGGTTGCAACCCAATGCCTTTCCTTGCTAGCATCATCCCCAGAATCTGGGTTTTCTTCTCTATTAAAATGAGTTTGGCACCTGCCTGGCAAGCACAAGGTTGTGAGTTCGATTCCTGATACCGGAAAAAACAACAACAACAACAACAAAAATGAGTTTGGGGCTGGGTGTGGTGGCTCATGCCTGTAATCCCAGCACCTGGAAGGATGACGCAGGAGGATCACTGTGAGTTCGCGGAAAGCGTGGACTACATAGCAAGTTGAAGGCCAGCCTGAACTATATAAGGTGATTCTATCTAAAAAAGGGGAGGGAGCTTGGGCTTGGTAACACCAAATTTCAGGAAGTCTTCAAAGCCAAAAGAGAGCCAGTACAATACTTCAAGAATAGAATGGTGAGGAAAGTAGGTAACCTTTCCAAGTGCAGAGAAAATGCCAGAACCTATGCAGAGTGCTTTACAGGTGCCCTCCCATGCAGAGTTCAGAATAAGCCTGAGGCAGATTTTAGTAATAACTTCGGTTTACAAGTGGGGAAAGTGAGGCTTAGAGGTTTAGAGGTTCATCTTACGCAAGTGGACTCAGAGGCAAAGGGAGAATTTGAAATCAGCCCTTTATACTGCAGACCTCCCCTGCGCCGCCGCCGCTGCCTATAGGCATACAATAAACGTCAGAAGAATGCATTCTCAGCGCCCACCTCCCCCGCACCTGCTTCCTGCCCGGTGGATTCCTTTCTCTAGGGAAGGGCTGCTGGGGCACATGCAAATTCGAGGAGCTTCTGCAAACTCGTTTGACATTTGAATGCCTTTTCCCAATACACTTATTCTGATCTAGGAACCCCCGCCCGGCATTTATCCTTAGGAAAAGAAGGCTGCAGAACCGCAGCGAACCTTCTCTCTCACTAGAGGGGCAAACAGAGGGCAGATTCAGGAGCAAGGGTTACAGGGTCTCAATCCCAATGGGACAAGCTCAAGTTTTTGCTGCTGCAAACGGTAGATACAAACCCGGCCCAAACCCGGCAAAGAGACCCCCGCCCCAAGCCAGCTTCTCACCTGTAGTGCATCCCACACCCTTCCTTCAGGGCCCGGTCACTGAGCAACAACCGAAGGCAACGGGATTAGCGGTCGCGCGCGAGGCTGGAGACAAGAGGAGCCGGGAACAATGAGGAAGAACTGCACATGCGCAGAAGGAGCTATGAGGGACCAGTTCCCAGGCCCTATCCTGGGACAATCCATCAAATTTGAGCCTCGGGTTTCCACAGGTCTCTGGGCTCCCTGCCCCAGGCAATGTCTGAATACTTCTTATTTGGCAAGTTGGGTTATTTATGTTCCAAAATCAGTTGTACTTTTGTTTGTAGTCCTGGTTCCTTATAGCCCAGCCTTTAGGGTTTTGAACTCGGTTCTATCTATAGTCAGGGTCCCTTTAGACCCAAAGTGTAAGAAAAGAAGAAATAAAAGATGGATGTCGACTGCTCATATGAAAACAAATAAAGCTGGGAGTGGTGGTGCATTGGGAAGCTGAGGAGGACTGCAAATTTGAGCCCAGCCTGGGAAATTTAGCGAGCCCCTGTCTCAAAATTTAAAAATGGGATGAGGATATAGCTCAGTGTAGAGGCTGTGGGTTCAATCCCCACTACCAGCATAAAAAAGCTACACAAGATAGTAAAAGATTAATACCGATGATTAGCAACTTTTCTCCCCCAATTGTAAACAGCTACCTTCACACAAAGCTGGATTTCCAAAGCAGTATGCTAAAATTATAGCTAGAACAGAAACTACACATAAATCACAAAGGAAAGAGATCACGATCCCCCTTTCTTGACATCCCATGGTCAATGTTAGGTGATACTTTCATTGAAATGGGTCCTAAAAGCTAAATGTGTCATTTTGGTCTTTCCATTAAAATGCTATTAATAGTTTTCTTATCTGTTTTACCTTGATGAATTTCAAATTTACAGAAAAATTTCAGGAATAATTCACTTGGACTGAGAATCTACACACTGTTTATTCGCATTCACCAACTGTGACTATTTTACCATGTGCACTCTCTCTCCTTTCCTCTTCCTTATTTGAGAACAAGTTACAAACACTAACTGACTCTCCTAAAACTTTAGCATACATCTCCTAAGAACATGGGCATTTTTTTGTCTTGTTTTGAGATGGGATCTCTCAGGCTGGCCTTGAACTCCTGGAACAACAGGCATACAACACCATTTCCTACTTAGTTGTTTTTTGTTTTTTTTTTTTAATAACCACCACACAATTATCAAATCCAAGAAATTGAACACTGATATATTATTATTATATAATGCTGAATGTATTAGTTGGGGTTCTCTAGAGGAACAGAATCAACAGAAAATATATGCACAATTATGCAAGAGAATTTGTTAGGCAAGCTCACAGGATCAGAGATGGGAGAATATGCAATGACCCTTTGTATGCTGAAGAGTCAGAGAATCAAGTAGCTGCTCAACCCAAGAAGAGGGACACCACAGAACAAGAGGGATCAGGGATGCAGAGCGCCAGTCCAAGGTCAAAGGCCTGGAAGTTCACGGAAGAGTTACTGGCACAAATCTGTGTTTGAAGGCTGAAGAAACTGAGGACCAATGTTCAAAACCAATGGCAACAAAGAATATACCTGCTCAAGAAGACTGGAGCTCTTCAAAACTGATGTTCCTTCTCCTTTTCCTTTTTAATTCCATCTAGGGTACAAGTCTCTTGGTCAGTAACACAACCAAGGCGGATCTTCCACCTTAATTTGCTGGCTTATATGTCAATCACCAACAGACACACTAGAATCTGCTGGGTGTTTCTTACTCCAGTCACACTGGCATAGCACAATTAAAGGTCGCACTGGATTATATTCAAATTTCACTCATTGTCCCAAATAATATCCTTTATAATAATTTTTTTTTTCTGATCCAGGATTCAATTCAGGGTCATTTAGTACATCCAATTGACTTATCATTTAGACTCCTTTAATCTATTTATTTCATGACATTGGTAATTTTGAAGAAGACCCCAGTTGTTTTGAAGAATGTTTTTTCTAAGTTTACCTGATTGTTTTCTCATACTTAAATTCAGGTTATAAATTTCTTGGCAGGGTACTGCATAAGAGATGCTATAGTCTCAGTAAATCATATCTGGTCGATTTCACACACATGATGTCAGTTTGTTCCACTTTTTGGTAATATTAACTTTGATGATGTACAGGTCAATATAGTTTTATGTCAGTAGTTTTTTTCTGTCAAGGACAATAAGATAACTTATGAATAATAAAGTCCATTCTGAGTAGCATTCAGTGTAGCATTCAGTATTTATGAGTACATTGACAAGAATTGGGTAGAACTCTCACAGCACAACTATTACACTCTACTGTGTGACATCAAAGCTATAAACAGGTAGACACTGCTTTTCTAGGTGGAGTCATCATTTTTAAACAAAAATTCCAACCAAAGTCACAATAAGTTGAATGGTGTGGTTTTTTCCTTTTTTTTTTTTTTAAACAGAATGTGTCTGAGTTTCATCTAGAAGAACAAAACCCTAAGAGAGTGGCCAGGACGTTTTAATTGGAGAATTAATAGTATTTTCTAATAGACACAAAGCTTGCCTCTGCTGTTTAGAAGAACAGGTACACACCCAAGAGTTCATAAGAATTTAGAGTATGATAAGGTGAAATTTCTAAGTAAAAGATGGTCCGAGCAGGAGAGGAAGATAGTCGAATAATCATGTTAAGAAACTAAAGGCCAGGGAGGCAAGATAGGAAGATTACATCTCCAGTAATACACATCATAACACAAATTTCATATAGACTCAATTTAACATTTTAACAGCAAACCATCAAGTATGTAGAAAAATTAAAGAATTTTCTATTTGATCTCTGGTAGGGGCCAAAGATGGCAGCCACAAAGGAAATGAATGCTAAATTTTGTCTAGAAATGTTTAAAAACTTACTCTCAGAAAAAATCAAGTAAAAACACACTTGGAAAACAAATTTGTTAAGTATATGAAAGAAATGGTTTATTGACTTCATTTAATTATCTCTTACACATTTATATGGTCCATAAAAATGATCTATGAATGGCAAGTAATAAAAGGGAAGATGCAAATGAGGAATAAATATGTGAAAATAGTAATACACTACAAATAAAAAACCGCAATATTTAAATACATATTTTGGCTGTTACAGTAAGCAAAGATCATAATGAAAAATGATACCCAGGGTGGCATAAGTTTGGAGACATGTTCATTTTCATAAATTCCTTTTTGGAACATATTTTCTAAAACAATTTGGAAGTCACTCCATGCCAAGATTTAAAAGAACTACATACTTTTTAATGTGGGCTATGGCTTCTATCCAGATGTCCCCCCAAGGCCTTGTGCTGTCATAGGTGGGGCTTTTCAGAGGTGGCTGAATCTAGGGTATGTGATACTTGGAATAGGGATGTGATACTGAGATTAAGGGTGCCACTCTGGGTGTGAGTGCTATCCACCCTGAGAGAGGGTAGCCTGGATGGAATATAAGGGACAGGAAGAGGGCTGCTGCAGTCGCTTGCTGCTGCTGCTGCTGCTGTTGCTGCTGCTTGTCTTCTGCTGCCTCCTGCCCACTCTGCAATGCCCCTCTGCCATGCCACCCTGTGTTGCAGCCAGTAAAACCTCTACAGACTGTGAGCAAAATAAACCTTTCATCCTTTAAATATGGAATATTTTGTCTCAGCAATAAGAAAAGTAACTAAGACATGTAATTCTATTTCTAGGAATATGATCTAAAGAAATAATTGTCCAAATATTATAGACAGGCAAGTGAGGTAGAAGATAGCAGGCAGCTAGAGAGTCACTGGGCCCATGGCAGAGTCAGGATAACCAGGGCTTTGTCAGATAAGCCAGGAGCCTGAGGTCAAGTGTTAGCAAGAACAAGGCGGACAGTTAAACCCAAGGATGTAACAAGCGAGGGGATGGATGGCCACTATGCCAACTTCTGCTCTTACCTATCTGGAAAACATGTTTATCTTCTTACTTTTTAATAAACCAATTAGATAGGATGGAGGTCAAGAGGCACCTATAGACTAAGCTTGCCATGTGCCTCGACTCTTCATAAGCCCCTTTCTAGTTTAAGTAAGCTTATTTTAGTCCTGTGGGTTGACCTTAGTTTGACCCAGACTGGTTTGAACCCTAGTCATTTCTTGGTATAAAAACTCTGATAAAGAGAATCTGTGGCAACCCATTTCGGGATCCCCTCTTGACTATTGGAAGCTATTTCTCTCTTCTTAATAAACATTTCTCCTGTAGATGTTCTTTGTCTTTGATTTCATTCTTTGACTTAGTGAGACACGGATCCAGACTATGCTGTCACACAAAGATAAATGTATGGGCCATTGCAAGCTATTGTGCTCCATAAGGATAGCACCGGAGCAAGAGGGAGCCAGACAGGCACTGGGTGAGTCTGTGCCTCGCTGAGGATAAAACAAGTAAAATGAGCAAAGGAGATCCTAAGAAGCCAAGGGGCAAGATGTCATCATACGAATTCTTTGAGCAAACTTGCTGGGAGAAGCACAAGAAGAAGCACCAAAATTCTTGCATCAATTTCTGAGAGTTTTCTAAGAAGTGGTCAGAAAGGTGGAAGACCGTGTCTGCTAGATAGGAAGGAAAAATTAAAGACATGGCAAAGGTAGACATGGCCCATTATGAAAGAGAAATGAAAACCTATATCCCTCCTAAAGGGGAAACAAAAAAAAAGTTCAAGAATCCCAGTGTACTCAAGAGAACTCCTTCAGCCTTCTCATTCTGTTGTGAGTGTAGCCTAAAAATCAAAGGAGATTGTATCAGTCAGGGTTTACTAGAGAAAGAGATATAACACAAGATATACAAATACATAAGAAATTACAAGTGTGGCTTACAAAGGTCAGCCACAGAGTTAGATGAGGAAGTGTGCAGAGGGTGTGTGCATGCTGGAGGCTGAAGAGTCCAGTCCAAGGTCTGGAGCTCACTGCAGTGTTCCGTGCAAGTCCATATCAGGAGGCTGATGGGTCTGCGACAGAAAGCTGAAGAATCTACAGTGAAGACCAAAGAGTCTACACCAGAAGGCTGAAGAGTCCCATGCAGAAGCCGAACAGT